AGATGACGTAACCCTTCACCACTGTTTCACAAATTAAGGAAAGGTTTTGGGTGGAGTTCCGCTTTAGCCCGGCGCAGTGAGCTCTCCTCAGCAGGAGAAGGAAGTTTCCCAGAATCCTCTTTGTTTACCGTTTGAAGGCGAGCAAGTTGTCATCCCGCGTGCTGCAGTCATCGGCCCCCGCGGCATAATACTCCCAGGTGGCTTTGGGCAAATGATCTCTGGCGTAGGCTTCATAGTCCGACAGGCAAATGAGGGGCATCTCAGCATCCCCCAGCCCCGACCTGAGGGGGGGACATGAGGAAAAGGTCAAGGGAGCTGCAGAGGTCAATCACTACTCTGTACGGACAGACACCGGACAGGGAGGACAGACACCGGACAGGGAGGACAGACACCATATGGGGGGGACAGACACCGGACACGGAGGACAGACACCGGACACGGAGGACAGACACCATATGGGGAGGACAGACACCGGACACGGAGGACAGACACCGGACACGGAGGACAGACACCGGACACGGAGGACAGACACCATATGGGGAGGACAGACACCATATGGAGAGGACAGACACCGGACACGGAGGATAGACACCGGACACGGAGGACAGACACCGGACACGGAGGATAGACACCATATGGGGAGGACAGACACCGGACACGGAGGACAGACACCGGACACGGAGGACAGACACCAGACAGGGAGGACAGACACCGGACACGGAGGACAGACACCGGACAGGGAGGACAGACACCGGACACGGATGACAGACACCGGACAGGGAGGACAGACACCAGACACGGAGGACAGACACCGGACAGGGAGGACAGACACCGGACAGGGAGGACAGACACCGGACACGGAGGACAGACACCGGACAGGCACAAAGCTGTCTCTCTGTTTGGACGTCTCAATAACCACATTCGTCCCCATTTCCTCCTCCGTGTCCCATTCTGAGGGGTTTGTGGTCGGTGACACGTTTGTCCACCATTGAGTGTCCCTCCGGCGTCATGTGACACTTCTCCGGATCTGTATTTTGCAGACGATTCCGGGGATTTTGGGATCCACACACAAGCGTTGGTCACTCTTACCTCCTCTACTGGTAAAGGTTCCCGAGCGGAGATCTGTACTGCGTCCCCTGTGTGATTGGCAGAGCTCGGGGGGGAGGTCTCAGCACACGGCGGATGGGTCAGGGTCCTCTGTGAGTGGTGTCGGGGGGGGGCCCCCCGGGGGGTCCAGCACTCTTCCCTCTCACCCAGAGCTGCTGATGCAGGATAGTAGGAGGGAAGAGTGACAACCGCCGCTCCCCACATGACAGCGGTGTGTCATCAGTTACACAATGACCCGAATTCTCACCCGTCTGCTACATTACACATTAGAAGCCAAATTACATTTTGGGATCCGCCGAATTCCGAAACATTTTTAACCCCTTCACGTTTTGTGTACAAACAGAAGAACACAGAGGTCTACCGAGGGGTTCTTTGGCGTTTTTCTCCCCCTCTTTTGGATCCATTTAGACTGGCCTTAGCAAATGGGCCTCTAAACCAGAGACATTTGTTTCCCTCTATACATTGTCCCCTATGGTATCGGTCTCCATCCCTCATAGTCCCCCGGGGGGGTCCTGTTCTTGTGGGGACAAGTGTGGGTACTGAGGTTACACAGGTCGATCCGGTTGCCATGGTGTAGTACTTACAGGGTCCAGTGGCGTCACAAGGGCCGGTGCGGCCCGCAACAGGGCGCCACCCTTGGAGGGGTGACACCAAAATGACTGACAGTCATTTTGGTGTCACCCCCTATGAAAAGTCGGGCACTCGGTCACGGACTGAGAGCCCGAAAGTGTCAGGAGAGAGAGAGGAGGGGACCCGGCGGCATAACTTATCCCGACCTCGGCACGCGGCAATGTCACGTGCATGCGCGATGACGTCACGGCGGGGTGTCACCCGGTCTCAGCTCCGGGTGTCACCCGGCCTCGGGACGCCCCCGACAGGGTCCCATTCATTGTGACGACCAACCTGAAATGATCACGTGACTGGGAAGCTCCAATCGCGTGGCTGCGCCGATACGCATTGCTCAGGGACGGTCCACCGTTGTCACCGTCAGGAGGTCAGTCCAGAGCAATGACGTGCGACCGGCACTGAAAGGAGCCCTTGTAGCTGAAAGGCGGCGATTGTTTTTGATACATTGTACACAGGGCAGATGGAATGTTGTACGACTATAAATCTCACCTACCGCCGAGGGAGTGAACGGCGAGAAGATATTTAGAAGCGCGGAGGCCGGAGTTGTCCCCCAGGACGCGGGACGTCCTCGTGCTGAGCCGTCAGTGACACACGCAGCTCGTCCCATTGTGCGCGATGTCTCTACGTGTCACACGGACCTTTCATAACAAGATTCCCGGGCCGGCATTGGACGGGGCCGTGTCAGTGCGAGGTGACGGCAACCAGCTGATCCGGAATGGAAGCCGAGTTCTGATGACTGATATCTACTAATACACCGAGAGGAGACCCAGAGACCCCATGACAACATATGAGAAACATTGTAACGGGTAAAATGAAGGGGTCACCAACCTTTCCCACAATATTTACAAGTATTAGACAAATAGTGTGCTAGAGAACAAAACCAACCCACTCCCCTAGACCTGAGATCACCCCAATTCCTGCACCCTCACCCCTCAGATCACCCCAATTCCTGCACCCTCACCCCTCAGATCACCCCAATTCCTGCACCTTCACCCCTCAGATCACCCCAATTCCTGCACCATCACCCCTCAGATCACCCCAATTCCTGCACCCCTCCGATCAGCCCCAACTCCTGCACCTTCACACCTCAGATCACCCAAATTCCTGCACCTCCAGACCTCAGATCACCCCAATTCCTGCACCTTCAGCTCTCAGATCACCCCAATTCCTGCACCCTCACACCTCAGATCACCCCCAATTCCTGCACCTTCACCCCTCAGATCACCCCCAATTCCTGCACTTCACCCCTCAGATCACCCCAATTCCTGCACCTTCACCCCTCAGATCACCCCAACTCCTGCACCTTCACCCCTCAGATCACCCCCAATTCCTGCACCTTCACCCCTCAGATCACCCCAATTCCTGCACCTTCACACCTCAGATCACCCCAATTCCTGCACCTTCACCCCTCAGATCACCCCCAATTCCTGTCCCTTCACCGCTCAGATCACCCCAATTCCTGCACCTTCACCCCTCTAATCATTATATTGTGTATAATTTGGTTGGTGTGCGTCCAGTATATATTCATTTTGTTCATCATGTAACCGCAGAACTTATTCACAAAGAATGATGTCCGGCCGGGTTCGGGTTTGCAGGTGACGGTTTGGAGACGGATCGCGGGCCAATGAGAAAACGGCATGGTTTGGGCAGAGACGGAACGCAGGGAGACGCAGCTTGTTAGTAGATGGCGGTATTCATTTTGGAGATGACATCTATTGGGCAGCGTTATCTTTTCAAGCAATTAGCAGCGCCGCTGGGATCAGGCCTCGGCCCACCTTAGCGCAGCCCCCCCGGGCACGTTGTTGTGATTGAGTGGTATCAAATCTTGGTGAGATATTAATAATAGGGCGGTGTCTGAATTATACTTAGATTTAATAGACCGCGCCTCCAGCCGATGACGGCAAGTAATAAATAACGTAACAACCAGTATGAATTCAGTTCAGACGCCTGATAATACACCCCAAACCACTTCCCTGAGTTCTTCGAGCTTATGGTGATTTCTTACCACAATATATAAATATCTCCCAATTACACTAACAAATCAAAATAATGTATTAATCTACGAGTATAATCCTATATTGCTGTACAAAACATCAATTACTGGTGATTACAATTCAAATACCCAATCAAAGAAATAAATGGAAATAAATTATCAGAAAAAAATAAAATAACTAGACACCTTTAAGATTGTTTCTGACTCTCCGTGGCCATAGGAAAGAAAGAGACGTCTCTCAAAAGTAAATATTCCCTTGTGATCCTAACGATTTCTGAAGGTAATAGGTTTACTATTCTAATAGGGATAGCAAGCAAAACCAGGCTACCGTGTTTTGTCCACTCCTCCCCCAGCCAGGTAAGACATCCCCCGAAAATAAGACCTAGTGTCTTATTTCGTGCCAAAAAAAAAAATAAGACACTGTCTTGTTTTCGGGGAAACAGGCCAGTATACCTACAATGGCAACGAGTTACATCCAAATCTGTACCCAATTTAACCGTACGCAATACAATCTCAGGAATAAAATCGAGAAGGATATGAAACATTATCAGAAGAATTCACCCTGCGCGCTGTTAATTTGAATTGTAAAAAAAACAACTAATAATAAAATGTAATTGAGCCGACCTGTGACAGTCTCATTGTCACAGGTCGGCTAGAACTATGAGGTGAGTGGAAATCACTCATGTCATAGCTCTCCTTTAAGTCTTTAGCGATGGTCAGTGAGTGACAGTCCTTTGGTTATATCCAGGAAGTCTTCTCCAGACTCTTCCTTCTCTCTCCTTTTTCTCCTCTCTTTTCTAGAAGTCTCTCCTGGTATTTTATATGGTTGGGAAGCTTTGTTCGCATTGACGACTCCCCCAGCCACTATTTACTTTCTTCCTATTGATCGGTTCAGAAATGGTAGTTGATTGGTATGATTCACTCATATCAGCCCCAAGCACTCAAGGAGCTTAAGGACTACTATCCCTATTTTACACACATAGAGGGCTAATTAACCTCTCAGCATGTCTTTGGAGTGTAGAAGGAAACCAGACTACCCGCAAGCACATGGAGAACATGGAAATTCCTTGCAGATAGTGTCCTGACCAGGATATGAAACGAAAGCCTCCAGTGCAGCATGGCAGAAGTGCTGACCACTATGCCACTGTGGTGAACTACATAGAGTTTTTTGACCTACCATTTGAGTGGTGCTATGATGTACAATGGATAGTGCCATTCATACTCCAGAAACCATAGTAATTCTATGTTGAAACACGAGCACTTTATTAATCAAAAATCAAACATATTGCACAATTATTTTTTTAATTCTGTATCTACAGGAAGATTTATCATAATAAGGAGAAACACAGGGCCAAAAAGGTACTGCTTCAGCGTAAGCCCGCCCCTCATTACAGTCATCACACGCCCGCCCCTCAGGGGGGCGTGGCTTGCGATGATCGAGAGTGCGATCTGCCCGTCCAAGATGGGCAGATCGTACGTTTTTTTAAATCCCTTTACAACCCTCGCAAGACTAAGGTCTTGCGATGGTTGTACGGTGTATGGCCACCTTTAGACAATAATCATCGGTGATATCAATCTTGAAAC